TTCACGTACAATTAGAAAATCAATAAGTTAAGAAGGCTTCCCTGCAATGATCTTATCCAATGGGGAGTATATCTCAACGACCCTACCAATAACGTCAAACATGTTAATAAAAAAAAAAAAAAAGAATTCAGATGTAGATTAAAATTGTAAATGAAACTTACCAACGAATTGTTTATCATCAACAGACTTCAAAGATAAAAATGATTTCAATAAATAAATTTGTCTAGAAAAGTTGTCATTTTTTTTTTTTTATATTCTTTAACCAAAGTAGCATAGTGGAATTACAACATAAAATAATGAGTGCATTTTTTGAAAATATAGAAATTACTTATCACCATAAATTTTTTAAAATGGCATAAACTTTTCATTGTTTGAAAAGCTTACAGTACTTACTAACATGTTCCCTTGGTATATGAGCATGAAGTTCCCTACAATGAAGTAAAAAAGAAAAGTGTTATTTTGCAATTTATTTTTGCAGTATATATAGGAAGCAGCTTTGTAATGCATCTTTTTCCCAATTTCATATACAACACGAGTTCTAGAAAAAAGCAAAATCGAAAAAAATAGCATTTGATCGGGAAATATGCACTCTCTAGATTTTATGAAATCACTCCCCTTTCTCTATGGGACTTCATATAGGTGCACACCAATCACCATCTAATAGCTCTGGAAGTCTTCAATGGAGAAATATCCTAGGCAAGAATAAACATTGGAGTCGTATAAAAAAAAACAAAATTGAAAAAAAAAAAAAACCTCTTGATCGTGAAACATGCACTCTCTAGATTTTATGGATTCACTCCCCTTTCTCTATGGGACCTTATATAGGTGCACACCAATTGCAGTCTAATAGCTCTGCAAGTCTTCAATGGAGAAATATCCTGGGCAAAAATAAATATTGGAGCCGTATGTTAGTATACATATCTATATCTCTATATATAATTACTCAATATAAAAGAATGAATAAATGAATATAAGGAAAAAATATTACCAATTAATAGATTTACCAATTAGGTTAATACGTGAATATGGAAATAATATTATCAATTAATAGATTTTAATTGAGTTAATACCCAAAATCATCCTCGACTATAGTGGTTTTTCTCAATTTCGTCCTAAACGACTTTGGTGACCTAATATCATCCTAGACTTTTTGTGTTTCGCTTAATTTAGTCCCAGACTTTTGTGTTTTTGCTCAATTTAATCCCTCATTTGGTATTCTGTCCATTTGGTGTTAAATAAATAGACAATTCAGTAATTTTAATATTGACATCTCTTTACTCATAGACATGTGAACTGCGAAATCCCTTTTTTTTTACGAATTACTCCCAGAATTACTCCTAAAACTGCGAATATAAAATTTGATTTGCAGGTCCGGGAGTAATTCTGGGTGTAATTCGTACAAGAAAGAGGAATTTCGCACTTCACAAGTTGAAAGTAAAGAGAGATCAATAATGACATTACTGAATTGTCCCTTTATTTAACACCAATTTGACGGAATAACAAATGGAGGACTAAATTGAGCGAAACACAAAAGTCTGGGATGATATTAGGTCACCAAAGTTGTTTAGGACGAAATTGAGAAAACCCACTATAGTCGAGGACGATTTTGGGTATTAACTCGATTTTAATTAATTTCTATTTTACATTTGGTTACCAAATAAGTTTTACTACAAAAGTTTGGGCGGGAAAATGAAATAGGAGGATTTTACTTTTATAGATATATAGATATAGATTTGGACAATCATTATACCCTACACCACGGCGCGCGTAGCACTATGCGCCGCGCGCCTCCCAAAATGACGTTGTTTTGGGAGACGCAGTAGGAAGTTGCTGTAATTATGTATATTTGTTCACACAATTATGTATATTTGTTCATACAATTATGTATATTTATTCATACAGTTATGCACATTTTTTTTATACAATTATGTACATTCTTTTTATACAGTTATGTACATCCGAATCAGAAAATTTGTGTGTATTATGTTAAGAGTTGATGTGTATTATGTTAAAAGTTTATGTTTATTATGTATTATGTTAGATTATGTGTATTATCTTTTAAAAAGAGTATGTATATTTTGTTATATAATTATGTACATTCATGTATACAATTATGTGTATTCTATTATAACATTATGTACATTTTTGAACAGGGGTTTTTTTTTAAAAGAAAAATTAATTGTCATACACTGGGACGAGAAATTCAAAAAAAAAATAAAAATTAAAACGACGTTGTTTTGCATCTGGACGTATAGTGCAACGCGCGCCGTGGTGTAGGATATAAATTGCCTAATTTGGATAGTCCAGACTCCAGACCGGATTCAAAATGTAAATTGCCCAATTTCACAATTTGTGCCTTTATTTGGGTTTGCAACTATAAAACTATATGTATGAAGCCCATAAACGGCCTATGGGCCTATGCCCCATTAAATCATACTCTATAAATATATACTTTCTGAAAACCCTAACATATTTGCGGCATTCTCAAACCCTAGCAGCACTGCAATACCTCTAGATCGCAGCATTGCTTTACCTGTTTGATCGAAAATGTCAGTTGGAGAACTCGCTTGCACCTATGCCTCTCTTATTCTCCACGATGATGGAATTCCACCCACGGTAATCAAAATCGCTAGCACTCAACAAACTTGTTATGCAATCTACGATTTTTTTTTTTTTAATCTTTTTAAATATTTGCAGGCGGAGAAGATTGCTACGCTGGTGAAGGCGGCTAATGTTTCCGTGGAGTCATACTGGCCCAGCCTCTTCGCCAAGCTCTGTGAGAAGAGGAATATCGAGGATCTCATCATGAACGTGGGCGCTGGTGGTGGCGGAGGCGCTGTTGCTGTTGCCGCTCCGGCTGCCGGCGGTGCTGCCCCTGCCGCTGCTGCTCCGGCTGCTGAGGAGAAGAAGGTATAATTTTTTTTGGGCTGAATAGTTTCCAACTTAATTATTTTAATTATCGTGTGAATAAATATTTTTTTTAATGTGATTCTAACTTATGTTTTGGTGATTTCGTTTTACAGGAAGAACCAAAGGAAGAGAGCGACGATGACATGGGATTCAGCTTGTTTGATTAGAATGGGAGGTTTACTAGTTTTGATAGATTTTTGTTTCTTGTTCACGTTCAAGTTTTGAAGTGAATTATTACTTTGTATTACAAGATTCTTCTTCCGTGGACCTGTATGCCTAATCTCGAGATGTTAGTTTTTGTTACTTAATGTTTGTTTCAATGGCTTACTGTTCTCATCTCTTTCAATTCTGATTCATACCTGTTTATTATTTATTGCCCAAATTGTTAGGAAGTTATGACATTGTTTCCTCATGCATCTATTTAGATATATTGTATTTTGTGTGTTATTTGATAATTGGTGGTTTGATTTGGTCTTTGATGTTATTATGTGTTTGAATTTGTATTTTTAACTGTATGCTGCCTTCCATGTACACACTTTTTCTTGTTACATCTTTTTACTCTGCTGTGTCACTCTCTTATGGGGTGTTTGGTTGGCATGAATTTCAATTCTTTTGCACTGAAATTCATCACCCATGCCAATTACATTGTTTGGTGTCTCAATTGCCCTTAAAAATAACATATGCTGAAGAAAATTACAAATTTGCCCTTGATTATAATTATAATCATTATTACACATGGGTATTTTGTTCTTTAAATTGTTTCTTCCTTTTCCATTCCCAAAATTCTATTACTCCCCATAATTTGAATTTTTACCTTATTCCCACCTTGTTCTTTCACCGAATTACAATTCCTCTCCTTCCTAATTCTTTCCTCCCAACCAAATGCCCAATTGAATGTGTTCTGTGCTTTCTATTGCAAGATTGGATCATAGTCAAGACTTAATGAATGAACTTATTTCTTAATAATTTTGAGTCTTTAACTATGATCCAATCCTGCAAGATAAAGCAGAACGTTATACTCACAAAATGAACATTTTCTGTGCTTTCTTTTGCAAGATTGGGTTATACCGTTCTGCATTCATTTTGCTTTTGTGATTTTTAGAATGAGTGCTAATGTTCTGTTGTGTCATGAAATATGTTCTAACTTCAAAGTATAAATTCAAAAGCAAATTTGACAATGATGTGCCCTGATGTATTTTGCAGTTATTTTATGTTTATGTGCATCCTATTGCTATCAGAATGAACATCGCCCTTGTAGAGGACTGTGTTCTAATCTGCATATCTGTGGTCAACTCAATTGTTATTTTTGAAGGTCTGAATTTTTTTGGTGTCTATAATTCTCGGAATATCTCCAATTTCAGAAAGTTTCCTAGCTTTACCCTACTGGCAAATTGTTTGATTTTTACAATATTGCCAAATTGTGTATTATGTACACAGGTTTTTAGTCTCCAATAATGGTGTTTTTTAAATCTTCTTTTTATTTGCTTTGATAATTTCGCTCTGCAATAGCTTGTAATGTGGAATTTATCTTCATTAATCTATTAAAGGTTGGAAATATTTGCAGTGAATTTTTTAGGGTTTTGAATGCAAAAGCACACACCATAACCAAAAATGAACTCGTAAGTAGGCTTACTGGCTAAGGCTGTGTTTGGTAAAATAGTAAGTTTACTAACTATTAATTTTGGTTTATTTGGTCACTGGCTGTTTTAAAGTGTTTGGTGGTTTATTAGTTAGTTTACTAACTATTAATTTTGGTTTATTTGATTGCTAGCTGTTTTAAAGTGTTTGGTGGTTTATTTGATCACTAGCGGTTTGATAAGTGTTTGATTAATCAATTTTTTTAAACTCTAAAATGTTAAAATTAAGTTAATCAAAGTAATTTTTTTAAATAGCTTTTTGAAAAAAGAATTTATACCAAACATAGCTAATTTACCAAATATCTTTTTATTACAATTAGTTAATTATGAACTAGTCATTCCTCTAAGATAATCAGCTAATAGTCATTTATCAAACATGACTTAAATGTTTTGCAGACCACGCTCCCCTTGTGTTTATTTTTATTTTTGTAATGACATGTATTATTCTTTTTCTTTTTTAAGCTATGAATGCAAGTAAACAAAATTAGTTATAGTAGTGTATAGTGTGATTAGGAGACAGTCATAAGTCGTAAGCGCGGTCCTCGTCCTATACTTGCAACCCGTTTGGCAACTTCAACTAAAAGTGACTTAGGTAGGAGCCCTGGATCAAGACTGCAAGCAACAGCTACAGCCCCACCAATAACAAGGAGCTTTGGGATGTTGAAGCCCTTACCCCTGCCCCTGTCCCTGTCCCCAGGCAACTCAGACTCGGTTGAATGAGATTCAATACCCTCCGGCTCTGGTGATGAGTCGAGGAAGGCCGGATCAAGTTTTGTGTTGATTTGAGCCATGAATGCACACCGAGAAATTGCACCTCCGGTTGCTCTATACTTCTGGTATGCTCGAAACCCACGTTCAATGTTCTGCACAGTTCCCCACATACCGTATCTAACCCCAAACTTTGCAACTTCCCACGGGATACCCATGTCTTCGTGATGAAATAGTATCACCTCACAAGCACTGCTCGTTTCACCATCTGATCTCCTCGATTCCACTGTTTCATTCATCACAAAGCCATTTCAAAGTTTAGGGAGGAAACGAGACACAAACACAACAACACCATAACAAAAGTCTATTCTATTCTATTGTATTTATGATTATTATCAGGTCCATTTTTTCATTCAATGAAAGGGACGAGCAATTTAAAGTTTCAAACATTTAAACGTCTCACATCTGTTTAGTGAAGTGTTTTTGGTTAGTTGTTGGGGTGGGGAGTTGCTACTAGAGAAAAGGTCATCCGCACCTGCTCGAATGTACCAACTTGAATAGTACAGATCAACACGCCTCGGTTTGTCCCGTCTTGGAATAGAAGGCCATGGCACTCCCTGGTTATTGAGGACACTAGATATTTATAAGGGCATTCATGCAAAACAAGCTTAAAAGAACATGAAAAAAGATGGTGGCCTTGTTTGGTAAAATAGTTAGTCTATTAGCCAATTTTGGCTTATTTGACCACTATTAGCTGTTTAACTTAGTTAAACAATCAATATGAGTGTTTGATTAATTAGCTTTTTGTAATCAACTTATTGTTTCAAAATGCTAAAATTTAAAAAGCTGCTTTTTCAATCAGCTTTTTGAGAAAGTTATTTTGTATGTAATAAGCTAACAGTTAATAGCTAATGCTATCAACTATTCAAACCCACTAATCCAATCAGCTAACAACCATTTACCAAACACCCCCAGTACTCGTATACATATTCAAAATATACAATGCACCATCTTCACAAAATACAACAAAAATGATTGAGGATAAGCAACTAGCTAGCAGCATTAACATTTATCAGTTAGTATAAAATATTCACCAACTACAATGTGAGTATTTAGAAGCTATAATATTGTTCGCGCAAAAATGTTTATAAATCATGATGTTGCCTTGTTTACTAATGGAAAGGACAACTAGCTGCATTAACTGCAAATCAATTATTCACCAAGTATAATGTGAATATTCAGGAAGAATAACAACTGTAATGCTAAAATGCCCTTTAACCATGATGTGCATGCTCACTGGTAATTTCTTCTTCTCCCAAGGCCAAATGCCAGCAGTGCGCACAAGGGATCTGTCCACTTAGAACATTGATCTCTTTTTCCAAATACTGTTTACTGAACCAGTGAGCTAAGCCCGTGCAGGCTCACCGGTGGTGGTAATTTCTTAATAATACTATTAGTTGTTTTACTTTTAGGTATGCATTGTATGACATGCAATGACACATGGTGTAACTTAAAGAAGGGCATGGGTAACAGATTTTTGTTTCAAGTTTTATAATCTTCTTCAGTTATATTAATGCCATTTACCAATGTTGGTTCCATCAAATAGATAGAAAAACAGTAAAAAGAAGAAAATAAAAAAGCAAAACAAGAGAGTGAAAATATCTTGTACCTTGGTAACACAATAATATGATCTTCCTGATTCCCATATTCGACGACCAATTATGTATTCTCTATCACTGCAGAAAAATGGGAACTGCATGCAGGAGTATTTGACAGAGATGTATTCAGAAAAATGGGAACTGCAATTCTCAAGTTCTGAAAGAAAATAATTGCATAGATTGAGAGTACTCATTGGGTATCTTCCTCACCTTTCTTACCCAATGGACAACCATCGTTCCGGTGATGGGACATTCTTCTATAGTTGATGCATGTACAATCATATCATCCCATTTAAATCGAAATTCATCGTCCCAAAAGAAGTCCCTTAATAATTCTGGAGTTGCATCTTCATACACAGTTCTGCTGCGGTATTGAGGAGGACCAGTCTAAAAATAGTAAAACACCAATCAACATTGTGCAAGAAGAACTCCAGAGAACCTATCTAAAACCCCAAGAGCTCATTGAGAAAAGAAGTGTTGGGCGGAGGCTAGTAAGGGTTAAGCCTAGCACCATCCATGTGGCTAGGGAGATTGTTGGGTGGAGCCGTGGAGGCCTGTAAAGGCCAAGTCCAGCACCCTAGCTCTAAAAAATGTGTGGCAGGGCAGTATAAGAAAATAAAGTTGCGTCTTTGTTACTAGCTATAACTTTTGGTGTAATGGTAAACGTTTGATCTAACAATTGGTATTAGAGTCGCTACTAGTTATAACTTTTGACGTAGTGGTAACAAGTCGTATATACTAGCTATAACTTTTGGTGTAGTGGTAAACACGTAATCCTAACAAGAAGGATTTAAACAATACCTCTGGATCTCTCTGCCATGCTTGATAGCTCATACTAGGAGTGGAACGATCCATCATATGCTTCCAAGGGGGACCACCATCCTTTCTCCCCTCAACTAGATGGTATAAATGTTCCAAATCCACATCCGTAACAATCCCAATCTCCTTTTTCTTATCTTGCAGCGATGAGCTATAGAAAATACATATGGAGCTCAACACTCAGTTAAGTAATAAGTGCTTCATTACATGATACTATTGATTTACATATAATGCATTGTTGCAAGGAAGGTAAAGGGTCCATCCCATCAATTGGTGGCTAGCGGATTGTTGGGCAGAGGCTGGTGAAGACCAAGTCTAGAACCCTGCCTCTTGAAAATCACATCCTTGAAAATGTGATGGCTGTCTATAAGGATACTAGCTATAATTTTTGACATAGTGGTAAGGGCTTAAAGGGAGTATCAAGCTGGGTCACAGTCTACTACTTGATCCTAACATGCAGATAGATAATAGTTGAAGAATCCATTATAATTTTGGAAACCAAAATTAAAAAATTGGGAATCCAAGTATATCAAAACTTACCTGCTTTCAGCAGTATGATCCGGTGGCAATACAATTTGATCCTTCTCCGAGACAGAATAGTCCACAACAGAGCTTAAACTATGTGCGGTGAGCTTAAAGGGAGCAGAAAGATCAAAATTAGAATTCCACAAGCACAAGCTCCTCGCCCATTTGGGTTTCCAACCCCATCCCACAAAAACACCCAAAAGAAACGCAATCAAAACAGGCGCTACAAACGCAAACATGCTTCTCAAACTATCGCCCCACACCTCTAAGATCAGTGGGAAGAAAAAATGAAGACTTTGTGATGAGGATGAAAGGGGGTTTGTGGACTAGCTGTGGGTTGGATTTCGCTTTAATTCTGTACACAAAACTGAGGTTAAATTTAGGAAACAGATATCACAGCCGCCCGCTAGAGCAGATCCGAGTAAAGATTTTATGGAATTGGATAAGAAGAAGAAGAAGAAGAAGGAGGAGGTTATTTAGGCGAGTGATGTGAAATGAATAGGAAAGTGCGATGGTGTTTGTTTGTTTGTTGTATGATTAAAGATTTTGCTGTACAGAGACGACGGCTCAGCCACAATCAAGCTTCTACATTCTTGTTTCCAACGGCTCTGCTACCGTCCATAATTTTATCCTTATTTTTAAAATTTTATTTTGGTATTTTTAAATATAATTTGTGCTAACCTAAAAACATCTTCAGACTAACTCTAGTGTAAGACGTGTCAAGTTAAGGTGAAAATATAATATTTATATTGAAAAATGTAATAGTAATCAATAATAATTTTTTTTTTTTTTTGATCAGAAGAGAGGGGGATACCCAACACATCTAAAAAGCATTGACAGCTCTTTGTCTAAAGACTCGTCGAGTCGACGAAGCTCCTATCCTGTCAAGGGCAATCATATCCTCAAGCTCCCGCGGCGGCGTCTCTAAAATAATAAATTGTTAGTTATTTATAAAGAAGCATGTAATACTTTTAAATCAAAATATTATATATATATATATATATATATATATATATATATATATATATATATAGTGAAAGGTTCCGGTGCATTTGTTGCTTCCCGTGCGGATGTGCGGTGGATTAATGTGCGTGAGATTTGTACTCAATGTGCGTGAGTGTTGTGTTTAATGTGCCTGAGATTTGTACTTAATGTGCGTGAATGTGTAAAATACAGCAGAAAATATTGATGTCAGCTTCTTCCCCATCCCCAGTAGTCATTTGCCCCCTCCCTGATGATGATGATGCGGAGGCGAGCTATGGTGGTTAAGAATTATGGGAATAATACAACAGAAATCCACACTTTACTGCTGTACAAATTTTACTGTGCGTGTGTCATTTATATAAACATTCAACTGCATTGAAGGTAGCTGATAATCCAGAATCCATGGCCAAATTGAAGGAAGAAGTAACAAGAAGCTTGGGCGTTAATGTGCGTGAGTTTCTGTTCTGCTTCCTTCTGAGCTCGTAATTCTAAAATACTCACGCACATTAAGCACAAATCTCACGCACATTAAACACAACACTCAGGCACATTAAGTACAAAACTCACGCATATTAACATGACGCACATTAAGTATAAATCTCAGGCACATTGAGTACAAATCTCACGCACATTAATTATAAACCTCACGCATATTAATCCACCGCACATCCGCACGGGAAGCAACAAATGCACCTGATCCCTTCCCTATATATATATATATATATATATATATATATATATATATATATATATATATATATATATATGTAATTAGGTTCAAATGTAGTTGGTGCGCCAATGTGCGGTTAAAATTTGAGCTGTTGATCTTGCTTAAATCAACGTTCAGGATTACCAAAATTAAAAAAAAAAATACGCTGGCAATTTGGTAATTTTTGCGTATCGGTCAAATTTAAGATGCGTGATTTTTGTGCTTAAGGTGAGTGAGTTTTGTGCTTAAGGTGAGTGTGTTTTGTGCTTACACTGCGTGTGTTTTGTGCTTAATGTGAGTAGTTGTTGAAACTTAAGCTGCGTCAACCTGAAACTTAAGCTGCGTCAACCTAAAACTTAAGGTGCTTGCTTTTCCTACTTAAGGTGTGTTGTTTTCCCTCTTAAGGTGCTTGATTTGTATGCTTAAGGTATGTGAGTTGTTGAAACTTAAGGTGCGCCAACCTTAGGTGTGTGGTTTGTGTTCTTAAAGTGCGTGGTTTGTGTTCTTACAGGGCGTTTGGTTGGAGGGATTTTAAATTCCCTTCCCACTTAATTCCCACCTAATTCCAAAGGCCATTAAATTCCGTAGTTTGGTTGGAGGGAATTGCAATTCCCCCATTTTCATGGAATTAAAATCCCATGTCCCCCCTGAGATTTTAATTCCTGGGAAAAAAAGTTAGTGATGAGTCAAAATTACCTCTTCCTTTTTTAACCTAAAATTAATGTCTAACAACAATAATGGACATTTTTGACTTTATACTACTTATTCCCTTTCAATTCCCATTTATACTAAACATTGGAATTGAAATTCCCAGTCCTGTCAACCAAACACTGAAATTTAAATTCCCACTTTATTCCCAGTAATTCAACTCCCATGGAATTACAATTCATTTCCCACATAATTCCCCCCCTCCAACCAAACGCCCTGTTAAGGTGCTTTGTTTGTGTGCTTAAGGTGCGTGTGGTTTGTGTACTTAATGTGCGTCAACCGCACGGGAAGCTATACCCGCACCTGAACTCTTATATATATATATATATATATATATATATATATATATATATATATAAAATTCATAATTAGTATTACATTTTTTGATTTAAGTATTACATTTTGATCCAATTTGTTTGACAAACAAAGATTCGTAAAACGGTTCCACACAAATTTTTCTCCCATGTTGGGTGATTTAGGACAGATTGTAGTGAAAAAACAAAACAATTGAATAAATGAACATTATTTTAATATTTTTTTTATTTTTATTTTTTATTATTTTTTTATTTTTTGCACCAAACTCGCTTGGTATTGTTTAAATTTTTATTTCATTATTTAAGTAATAGTTACGAAGTATTTATTAAATTATCTTCCCTGTCCTATTTAATAAGTGACAACAATGTTTTACCCCAGTAAGAAAAACAATAGATTGGAGTAGTATTGGACACACCTAATTTTTTTTTAAAGGAATAAATAATAGATTTTTTTTAAAAATAACAAATTTAACCATGTTTAAATTAGAAAAGTAGACATTGTTATAAGACAAACTAAAAGGAAAGTAAGAAAATGAAGTGGAAATGAAGGAGTATTTGTTAACTTAAATAAGAAAAGATGCAAAATAAATTTTTTGTACATATTCATTAAATGTAAGTTGTTTATTATTGAATGATTATTTATTGCTCCTTAATTTAAAAAGAAAAGAGAGTAGATGTAAAACAAAATCACATATGTAAATTATTTATAAAATTTTTCAACAATAACTCATTTGTTGTAAAACTAGGTGTATTTTCGCGTAAAAAAGATATAATAATATACAATAAAGTGAGAAAGAAGATAAGAGATACAAAAAGAACCATCAATCTTTTAATATTCATCCTTGAATCCAATATATATACATGATATATAAAGTTTTAGTAACTACGAGACTATAAATAATGAATACATATTGACACTCTTTGGTAAAATAGTTAGGTTATCAGCTAATTTTGGCTTATTTGACCACTATTAATTATTTGATTTAGTTAAAAATTTAATATAAGTGTTTGATTAATTAGCTTTTTGTAACTCCAAAATGCTAAAATTCAAAAAGTTGTTCAAAACAACTTTTTCAATTAGCTTTTTGAGAAAAGAAATTATAGCAAACGGTTAATATAATAGCTAACATCTAATTTACCAAAACACTTTTCTACAATCAGCTAATGTTATAAACTAGTTATAACCTCTAATTAATCCAATCAGCTAACAGCTAGCCGCCATTTACCAAACAGGGCCATTATCACAATACTAGTTTTTTACGCGCATTGCGCGATTGAGATAATGCCCAATATTTTTTTTTAAACAAGTACTTTAAAGTATATCAATGTAAGATTATATTGGAATTGTTCATGCATAGATAATTGAATGTTGAATTTGCGTATTTAAATATGTAATTCTAAGTTTACAAATACAAGATAATATAGTCAAGATTGATTATAATTGTCAATAAAATAATTGTATAGGTATGGTTGAAATCAAATACGGGACATAAGGGAGAGCAAATAAAAATTAGGGCATAAAATATTAAATATATACTAATATTGAAGAGCTAACTGCTGAGGTAGTTTCCCACTTCAATTTGTTGTGCGATTTGAGTACTCTCTTTGTCAACAAATCCCTCAATTAGTTAATATGATTGGCTTTATTAATTATATTTTTAAATTTTTTTATGGTATTAATAAAATACTTGGTAAATAAATATATAACATTATTTTGTATTATAACTTTGATATTTAATTAAAAACATAGTGCACAAAAAAAAAGACAATGTAGTGAATATAATCAATTGATGAATTTGAATAATGTAAAGAATTTTTACATTTGAGAAAAATAAAGACAATATAACTAATAACATTATTTTTCTTAATTAATTTATTGATAATGAATATTTTTTTTTTAATAAAGACATTATAAGAACAATATAACGAATATAATCAATTGATGAATTTGAATGTAAAGAATTTTTATATTGGAGAAAAATAAAGACAATATAACTAATGAAATTATTTCTCTTATTTAATTTATTGATAATGAATACTTTTTTTTTGATTAAAGACATTGTAGACACATAATTCTAAATTAAAGAAATGCACATGTACTATTTTTTTTGTTGTAGCTACTAACTTATTATTTAATTTAATAATAGTAAAATAGAGTACTAATTATGCCAACTTTGATTGGGATGGGATTCGAACCTAAAACCTTTCTTATTGAAATCAATGAGTAAGTTAACGGTGAACTAACAGAAATTAACAGAAAAGATAATATTTAACGGAAAAGTTAACGGATAATCATATTCATTAAGGATAAATTAGGAAATCGTAAAGAAAAATTAAAATCTGATTAATCTGAACCATTCATTTGATTAAAAAATTTGACTGCCATTTTTTCTACCCATTATAGGCCTAACTCTCTTGGGCTTTTATTAGTATAGTAGATAAAAAATTTGACCGCCATTTTTTCTACCCATTATAGGCCTAACTCTCTTGGGCTCTTATTAGTATAGTAGATAGTAGATAGTAGATAGTAGATAATACATCTAGTAATATCTACATATATTTATTTACAACATTCCGTCTTAGACATTACTATATCATATTTATGTCTCGTTAAAAACTTCACTAGAAAACTCAATAGGAAAAATCCTAGTTGAGGAAAAAAAGAGTACATGATATATGTGTATTCATGTGTAGCACTAGCTACCTCGTTAAAAAAAAAAAAAACCTTTAATTAAGAAAATTATATTAAAATTCAATCAAAGAAAAAAGAGTACAGTTGTTGGTCTTTAATTAGGACGCAATCTTCAGGACTAATACAAATCTAATCTTCAGGATTGATTCAAGTAAATATCACCCCTTGATGAGAACAATATTCAAAGCCTATATGTT